AATACAGTCAACTCAATCACCTTCAAGAACTCGATCTTTTTATTGTGTGTGTGTTTCTTTTGTTAAGAGAGAAATGCCAAATGAAATATAAATGAAAAATATAAATTAAATTAATTTATGTATTTCTGGAATTAAAGAAAATGAAAAATATAAATTGTAAGGGCATAATTGTCTTTTTAAGTGTGTAGGGACCAAAAACAATAAAAAGATCCAAATTTGGACCAGTGGTGCACCAAGGTATCGTTTTGGACAAAAACTGCAGAAATTTGCCAACCATAGGGACCATTTTTGCAATTTTGTCCTAATAGAACCAGTCTAATACAAATCAAAAATGTTTGTCTAAAACCCATAATTTTTTTGCAAAGGGCCAAATCTGCAGTTTTCTTTTTTATCTCTTAATTTTCTTAACTAATCAAATTTTTTCGTTCTAAAACCCATAATTTTTTTGCAAAGGGCCAAATCTGCAGTTTTCTTTTTTATCTCTTAATTTTCTTAACTAATCAAATTTTTTTGTTGAACATTAAAAGTTAAAAACGACTGATTATCCAAATCAATTATATATTATAATATTTTATTACAACAATTATTTATAATTAATAGGGATGCGTGCCTTTGCAACAACCATTCTCTCTCTCTTTCCACCATCTCTCGAAAATCCATCTCCTATATTCCCTCCCCCTCTCTTTCTGCAATCTTTAAATCAAATTGTCAAACTTTATTTGCAAATTCCGAGTTTCGATTTTCTCTCTCCACTCACTTCTTTCCTCTCTTTCTCTGCAAACCACCAACAATCAAGAACACGCGGAAGAAGAAGAAGGGAGAGAGAGTGTTCTTCATCATCAAATGTCTCAAGAACATCAAATTAGATACAGGAAACCCAGAAATCACACAGATCCAATCCAACCCACACGCCCTAAATTCACAATTTCATCTCTACTCTCAACAGTTACCCCCGCCACCGATGACTCCCCCATCTCCGACACCACTACCAAGAAGAAATACTTCACATCTACAAGATTTAGGGGGTTGGGATGCACTGCTCCGGCGCAAGTGTCGGTGCCGACAATGATAAGGACGTCCGCGAATTGGGAAGGGAAGAAGGTGAGGAAGAAGAAACCGAAAAAGAACAAGAATTGTATTTCTTCAAGTAATGAACCCGGTGGTGATGGTGTTGGGTTGGTACTTTCGTCTACTAACAATAGTCCCCCTCCGGCGCCGGTGCCGGCGATAGCGAGTTCATCGTCTTGTTTGGTTGTTCCTGATGTTTGGTGTGGCCCTGGGATTGGGTTGTCAACAGATGCTGCTTCAGTGGACTGTGTTGTATCGAGAAGGGTAGTTTCCGGTAGAGGGAAAGTCGATGGTGAAAAGATCAATCTACGAGAGGTATGATTGTTCATGATGTATTCTTCTTGTTTTTAATTTCATGAACTCGATTTCAATTTTGGTTTTAAAGACGATTTTGATGGATTATTAATTGTGGTGGCAGCGAGGTGGAAGGAGAATGGTGCATCCGGAAGAACTTCCATTTTTCGATACCGATTCTGGAATCCCACACCATCGATTTGATGTATTTGGAGCTCGACATCATCGCCATGTTAGACATCGGTCTCCTGAAGGCCTTGCTGAGGTTTGCTCATAGATTTGACAGTTGTTTGTGCTTTCAGTAACATAATTATAAGGGGTAAATGCAAAAAGTAGCTAACTTACTTTTATTTATTTGTGTATTAGAGCATTCTAATTTCATATCTTTTAATTACAACATTATAAATTTATAGTTTAAAATTTTCCTCCTATTAACACATTGTACTTTAAAAAACATTTCCAATTATAACAGTTGCTTTACATGACATTGTTGTAATTTGGTAGAAAAAGTGAGAGTATAATAAGCAAATCAATGAAAATACAACGCTAGTTTTTGCATTTATTTCTAATTTTGAAGATATTAAAACTAGTTTTGCACTATTTTAAGTTTGTTTATTGTGTAAAAACGGTGTGTTTGGTTGCAAATGAGTTTGGAAGTGAATTTCGTTGGAATTCACAAAATTCTTTCACCAAGATTCCACCTTAAAACCCATGAAAATTCAATTCCAAATACCCTTTTAAGCCTAGCGTTCTACACACCAAATAAAAATTTACAAAACCTTTTACAAATTTACAAACTAAACATTAATTTACATTTTTTTTTTCTTGGTGTAGATTGTTATGCTCCAAGGTAATTTGCTTATGGGGGGAAGATTCGATCATGATCGATACAGGGACTGGAGGCTTGATGTTGATGCTATGTCTTATGAGGTTTGTTTGCTATTCCCCCTTCGTTACTTAGGACACAATGACAAAAAATCATACTATTGTTTGACATGTGTTAGACTGGAAGAATAAGTTGAAGAGAGATGTCAATAAAACAAAAATTGCAGTTTTTTTGTCCCATCCTAAAAAGGTGGGACCGGGACTTAAAAGACATGAATGTCCTTTCTATCTCGATTATCAGAAATAGCCTTAGAAAGCTTGATCAGTCAGTAGTCAGTTCTAACAGTATATTTTATTTTTTACGGTTTAATTATGTTGAAATAGGAGTTGTTGGAGCTTGGTGACAAGATCGGGTACGTGAGTACGGGTTTAAGAGAAGATGAGATCGGTCGGTGTGTCAGGAAAACCAAGCCCCCGGTGGTGTCATCATCTCACGTCCCAAATGAGATGCAATGGAAATGCACCATTTGTCAGGTTTGGTTTATAAAACATCATTCACACATAGCGAATGCTATAATTTTTATTTTGTAATATGGTAATTTTAGATGTTAATAACAAGATATTGATCACATAAAATGGATCCAAACATCCCTGATACATCATAAGTTAATAACAAGACAAATGCTTTAATGATGGAAAATGCGAGAAGGGATTTTAGTCTAAGAATCTGACAATTGTAGAAATGGTCGATGGTTAAAGTCACAATAATCAAATAATCGCAATATGAGAGTTTCAATATTTATATGGATTTGGCTCTTATATGGCGTTTTTGTGTACTTTTTACAAAAATAATCATTTGAGATACTTAAAGTACACCCTTTGGTAAACAACAAAACACGTGCGATATCATCAAAATGTTTGTGCAGATATGATGATGGGCAAATAGGTCAATTTTGTTTGAAAGTTTCCACCAATTGTGGATTGAATTTCAATCAATTGTGACTTGAAGAAGTTATAGTAAGATTTAAAGCTAAGGGAAGGTTTGGTGAATTTTTTTTTTAACGTCAAGGCAAGAAAATATATATAGGGGGAAAGTAAGAAACATTAAGAAAAAGAAATTTAAACAAAAGAGTTGTTGCATTTGGATATTTTGATGATTAATATAAATTAAAAGAAAAAATGAATACGAGTATATGATTATGAATTGGTTGTTTGACATGACATAACAGGAGGAGTATGAAGGGGAGGATGAGATTGGAAAGTTGGAGTGTGGTCATTTCTATCACGTATACTGTATAAAGCAATGGCTGGGCCAGAAGAAAACATGCCCCATTTGTAAAGTGGCGGTCCAGTCTCGTCAATAGGCTGCCTACTGCCTACTTGCCTAATCCATTTCATTTGTGCATAAAACTACTTTTCGTCTTGTGAACGACAAAAAGAATCATTCATTGTTGGGTTTTTACATTTGTGTTAACATTGTGCTTATCATGAATTGAATGAAATGTTATTACAAGTTATTCTCGATGTTTTCCATTCTCTCTACATTTTTGTCATTGTATTTTTTTTTAATTTAAATTAAAATACGACTAATATAGTTTAATACATATCGATAGAAGGCAAACGGGCAACAAGCTGCGCCGCTAGCCCTTTCTGGATGGCAAAACTAATTCTTTTGAAAACATGTGTGGATCTAGGAGATATGAGATTAGAATGCATGATCCGTTGGACTCTGTTGAGGAGCTCCACCGCCTCTGGTGCGAGAAAACCAAATATATCAAATGCAAAAGGTACAAACACATGTTGATTGTTTATACATGCATTTTCGTGCATTGCCACTTTACACGCAACGGTTTTCAAAGCGGCATGCCCTGCTGTGAAACCCTCGCTCCTCAAACCGACAAGAGGAGAGACCCCAGTAAGATCCACACACGCGTGCTTCCTTCCTATCCATCCAAAGACCAAAACGTCAGCCGGTCTAAGTATGGATCTTCCATCCTGCGGGTCCGTCAAAAAGTTCACCGACGCTTCTTTCTTCGCAGAAATACAAGCATGCCGGCAAGCATCAAAGAGAACATCCCTAACCACATCATGTATGTACTTAAAACCAGGGAGCTCTCTACAATGATCCACATGTTCCCCAAATGTATCTAAACATGCATTGCGGCAAACTGGGCATATATCGTCAATTGGAAATAGAGGAATCATGAGGCGGTAACGAATGATAGTTCGGTACTCTACAGTCATGTCGAAGTCGACTTCCATGCATTGCAACAAACTGTTCTCAAAGACTGCTTTCTGTCTAACAGTCATGTCGAAGTTGACTTCCATATATTTGAAGATTTTGCTAAAAAGGGCACACGACAATGCTCTTTGGGATTTAGGGGGGTGTCCTTATTAGTGAAACCGCTACAGTCGAATCCTAGAATCGTATCGCGAAGACGAGTCATAACATATAGGTAATCAGAGTCCATACCACATATGCCACTGTCACGTAAGATGTGGTCTTGTAATGCCCGAGATTGGGCCCTCGAGGCTACAAATACGTATGAGGAAACCCCGTATGCCGAGTACAAACCCAAACCACCGAAACGAATAGGTAAGGAAGTCAGACGCCACTGAATGTCTCCAAAGAAGGGGCCTCTACATACCATCATATCCTCGATAGACCTGCGCAATCCTTTGTCAAAGAACAAAGCTGCCTAATCTATGTGCACCGGCTGGCATGTCCTTAAACCAAAGAAAAGTTTTGCAATGCCCATACAAAAGGAGCTCACTCTGCGGGTCACATAGTTGTGGAAGAAGACCCATCAAATCAACAGCATTGACCGCTCTCTTCATTACCAGCCCGCTAATAAACCCCACGTCTATACTAACAACCCCCCCCCCCCCCCCCAAAAGGAGCTTCACCCCCAAAGAAGGTCTCCCTATATCCTTTGGGAATAAAACGACACGAAGCTTCCTACCATCACATGAGGGCCAAAAAATCTCCGTTTTCTTAATGTTCAACTCAAGACCCAAGCCTAGACCATTCAACCGAATAATGTTCAACACTCTAGCCATCCTCCTCTGAATCCCCAATGACAGTCCCATCATCTAGATACCAAGCATGGAGAAGGAGCTTACAATTGTCTCTAATCTTGTGCACAAGCGGGTGCAAAACGATGACAAAAAGAAGAGGTCCCAAGGGGTCGCCTTGCTGTGTAAAACCTAAAATGTTATGTATCAATCGAATTCACTTGATGGTGCGGAATCCCAATCAAGTGAATTAGACAAGACGAAATATAGAATAAGAACACAATAGTTAATCTTCAATGCACACTATTATTGAATAGTCGGGTACATAAGATTCACAATTACACTTGGTTCTCTCTTGTTTCTCTCCAAAACACGTTCTAAGCATATGGCAGCCCCCAAAATGTCCTACACTCTTTACAAGGCTCAAATGACACTATTTATACCTAGACCTAATAATCAAGGTCCAGCCCAAAACCCAAACAAAACAATATAAAGTCTAACCGAAATCACATGTGATTTCGGTCCAAACAACACTAAAACATGTTGTTTTCAATCATAGACCAAGAACTCTAATAGCTTATGAAAAGCAAAGTATAAACCACAATTTATGACCTAACAATGTCCCCATTGATTTATAGCTTTCTTTTCACTTAGTATACCATAATTTAGTTCTAACAATCTCTCCATTGGTTTACAGCTTTCTTTTCTTTTCAATCTTCTCTTCGTTCTTGACTTCAACTTTAATCTTCGATTTCTTCACAACTTCAAGATGAACATATCAATTTTTGCATGAATGACTTCATCTTGAACAGTCAGACTTCCTTCAAAGATTTGACCTTGAACGCACAGTGGGTGTAAGGCTTCTTGTAAAGGTTCTTGAAAATCAGCACTTGTAGCTTTGAAATACTTTAGAGAAACTAACAGAGAAACCAATTCTTCTGGATCACTTCAGCAAGTTCATAGATAGCAACAAATTGATTGAGGAGGCTTCAATGCAATCTGTCACAGAACTTTAAGTACAGCTTCACCTTGCTTCTGGGGTTGAAAAATTGAATGTCGAAAAATAATCTTCACTTGTTCCTTCGAATGAGTATTCTTTAACGATCACCGTTGCTCCTTGAAAAGTAATCATGACTAAAAAATCCATGTGAATCACAGAATCATAAAGACCCTTCTCACTACAGTTGTTCAAGGACCCAGCCTTGGCTCAGAAGGAGACTACTTGTAGTATCTGTGTGAACACCGAGGAACGCACTGCGATTTGTTGAGTATCGGAGAACTACTCATGGCTATTTTGATGTTAGCCCTTGAATATCCTAGATCATAGACCTCAATGCATTTTTTCAAGTTAAACAAGTTAACTTGGCCCTTGGCGAGACGTTCAACGATAATCGTGCCTTGCGAGGTGCATCGCCCTGGTGCCATGACATCTGTACAGTTTCAGACTTTTAACTCCTTAAATACGACAGTTCTTTGAAAGATACTGCCTAACTGAAAAATTGTACAGTTTCAATCCTTCAATTCCTTGTGAAAATAGAGTGAAGTATAATGACCATCAATTCCTTTTCAAGTTTCTTCTCCTTGCTCAGAAAATTCCGATACAATTTCCTTGAGTCTCTTCTTCTTTTTGAATTCGCTTTATAAGACAAACGAAACTTTGAGATAAAAAAATAAAAGTAAAAATAATTTTAGCACACAATAGAAATAACTAAGAAATAAAATTAAAATTAAGAATGCATTCAAAAGTAAAAATAAAATATTTTTGGATTTTTAATTTTCTGAAAAGGAAATTGAAACAGAAATAAACATATTTTTGGATTTTTTTAATTTTCTGATTTTTGTTGGGTTTTTTTTAATTCCCCCCCTAAATTTGTGCATAGAAGAAAAATATGAACAAATTTAACAAAAATAAAAATAATAACTAAATTTAAAACTTTTTGGGATCAAAGTTGTCAAACAATTCAATATCGTTTATCAGCACACACCTGCATGTTTAGCTCTGGTCAATCACCAATATTGTGGTCCAGTTAAACACAAAGGATATTGACAAATTGGACAGATAATAAATGACAAGACATTGTGATTATATTCCTAAATAATATTCCTAAATAGACCATTTTGCTGACGACGACCAAGGATATTGTTGTCCACTTAAATTCAGCAGCGAGATCTACAGACAACCTTTAATCATGAACCAATTCAATTTTAAGCTCACTAGAACGTGTTCCCCATTTCACGACATACCCTAGAAATCAAGGAATTCCAAAGAGCTCTTTACTTTAGGTGAGTGCTCAATTATTTGAGAGAGGATAGATATAGAGATGCATATGTTGTGCCACAGGTCGGATCTCTTCCAATCACGCAGAGGGGACAACATATGACTAATACAGATAGAGGGATAGAGAGATAGAAAGTTGCATATGTTGTGTCCCAGGTCGGATCTTCCGATCACGCAAATGGGACATCATATGACTGACATAGATAGATAGAAGCATAGATAGGGATGTACAGAAATAGAGTGCATATGTTGCGTCCCAGGTCGGATCCTCCGATCACGCAAAGGGGGTAACATATGACTGACATAGAGGATAAGAAAGAAAAACAATTTCACACCGACATACTTTATCAGAACCCCCCAGTCACCCTATCAGCACCAGAATTAAGGACATTTGTCCGTACGTCGAAGAAATGTTGAGCCACAGTTCTAGATGATAAGTAACTTTAGTGTATCTCGCAGGCTCCCATGTTTATCTCACTGTTCAATCTATCCAAGCGTTGTATAATCAGTCCAAATGTCACTATCTAAGTCCAGATGAGTTAACACTGTCAAGTCCTTTCATTGCCAGCTGTGTCTAGTCCTTTAATTTGGAATCCTTCGTGCCTATCAGCACATTAAACACAGAGTCTAAACAATTTAGCTTCAGTGCATTACACGCATCTCATATTGCCCTTTAGCACTAAACTTCATATCACTTCCCAACAGACTTAGTAGATTTCACAACCCTTGCCACTATGACTCCAAGAAAGTTTACGAGATCAGTGAGTAGTGTTAGGCTTGGGAATGAGGAGATCTGACGTCAAGTGTAGGAATTGATGTCGAAGGGCTGGGAAAGTCTTAGTCTGTGTTCAACACTTGCTTGACTAGTTCAAAAGGAGGCAGCTGGAGTGCATGTGGATGGGCTTTGAAGCAGGGCAAAACATGGAGCGGCTTGCCTAAATCTCGTATTTCCCAAGTAGTCTGTCGGTCAAACCAACGATTCTTCTCTCAAAGTAATAGAGAGATCCTTTTCTTTTTTCGGTATGTAGCTCAACGAGCAAGAAGCGCATCATCATAGCAGGGCGAAAACGATCACATGATAATAGCCCTTTTCTTCTTTCTTTTGCTGCTGATCTCACATCGAGAGCAGCTCCTTCGTGTTCAAAACTGCAATTTATTGACAATGTGCTTTTGTGTTTCCTAAAATACTTACAAGTGTATCATAAA